CACTTTTGTTGTGCCATTTGCCATATACTGTTAGCAGCTCTCTTAGAACCTAATCTCACTAATGACTTAAGAAAATGGAAGGTGGGTGTTAGAAAGATTATAGGTAATATTAAAGAATATGAGGCAGGCATGGTGGTGTGCACCTGTAGTTTCAGCTACTCAGAAGTCTGAGGCAGGAGGCTCACTTGAGCCCAGGAGCTGAATACAGCCTGGGCAACATATTGAGCCTCTGTCCCTATTTCTAAAATTTTTTTGAAATGCACACACAAAAAAATGTAATGTAAAATAAAGAAAATAGAGTAACATGAAATTTAAGAGAATTGTAAGGTAAAACAGAAAGAATAAAAAAATGAACTTTTGATCAAGAAATGACTAGGTAAGTTAGACCCATGGCACTTAAATCACAACTTTTTTACCATAGCATATCAGGTATTTTGCAATCTGGCCCCTATCTCATCTTTGAATACATCTTGTACAAGAGTCTGCCTTTCTCTCCTGTTATGTACCAGCCACATTTGCCTTTTTTAAGATAATTATCTGTAAGATTGAATCTACATGTCAGAGACAAAGAATTTCTGTTTCCACACCGCACCCTGTGAAAATTTGTTTCCACACCCCACCATAACCAGACCTGCCTGTTCAAACTATCTTCCTACCCTGTTCACATTGCAGACACATAGTAGGCACTCAAGTATTGGTTGAATAGGTAATAGGTATTATGGATGAGAAAACCTGAGGACACAGAAAACCTATTAGATTATGAATGATGTTGATAAAATACAATCAGATGTTGCTCTAAAAAGAGTATAATCCCTAAAGGACAGAAAATGACTCATTCGTTATTTATTATTTACTCAGCCCATAATTGTTAATTACGCACCCACAATATTTGGATTTAAGAGTAGAAATTGCCAGTGAAGAAGGTATAGCTCCAGTAACAGTGTAAGTAAGAGAAAGACCTGGGGTAAAGGTAGTCACTAGTTACAGATGGTTCAAGAGTCCCCTCGTACTTGAGGATGTTGCCTCCTCAGTATCTGTAATTTACAAGCAGTCCCAAAAAGATCAGTGATCTGCTAGAGCGTGATACATGAATCTCAGTGCAGCTTTGTTACTCTGCAGCAACATGATCACTCTTCTGAACTGATCATGAGAAAACAGCTTAAATAAATGTTGAAAAGGAGTTAATTTGGGGTTTGGGTGTATGGTTCAAGGGAAGACCAGGAGCCTCTACAAATATTCCAGTTTGTGGGTTTGTGAGTCTTAAAGAATTCTAAGCATAGCAAGAGTCTATCATATATCATAAATGAAAGGGAAAAGTCACGTAAATCCAGAAACCGTGAATTCCTGATAGAAGTGTTTAAACGCTATGCAGCAGTAGTAAGCTAGCTTGAACTTAGATAAGAGTGAAGTAACAAAGGTGCGACTGTATGCATGATCGACTGCAGTGGAGACACTAAGCCCCTGCTTCATGGAGCTCACATTCCAGTGGAGCTCACATTTCCAGTGTTCAGAAAACAAAATAAAGAAGGAAAAGATACATATATTATGTTAGGTGGTGGGGTTAAGGAGAAAAAAGGAAGCAGTCAAAGAGGTTAGGAAGTGGTTTCTAGGGGTGTGGGAGAGCGGTAAAAGTTCAGAATGGGGGGCCAGGGAAGCTCTTACTGGGGTGACATTTGGCGAAGACCTTTACGCAATGAGGAAGCTAGCCTTTTGAATATCTGAGAGAGGAACATTTCATACATACAGAAGGGTAAGCACCTGTCCCAGAGGCAGGATATGCCATGGTGTTTGAGGAATAGCAAGGGAGCCATAAGGCTAGGGAAGACTGAGCAAAGTAGGAGCTGTTGCAAATGAGGGCAGAGAGGCGATGGGTCCAGATCATACAGGGATTGTTGGTCCTCTTAGGGATTTTGGTTTTTCCTCAGAGTGAGATGAGATGGGAAGCACTGGAGATTTGAGCAGAGGAGATATGAGCTGACTGTAACAGGATGACTCTGACTGCAGGGTTGAGACTTGACTATAAGGGGAGAAGGGTAGAAGAAGAAGGCCAGTTAGGAGGCTATTGCAGTAATCCAGGTGAGGGGATAGTGGCTGGACCAAGTGTTCGCAGTAGAGGTTATGGGGCACTTGATATTTTTTGAAGGCAGAACTGACATGATTGAAAATAATAGTTTTTTTTTGCTCCTGTAAGAAAGCTGACAAAATATGCAGTCGATAAAAAATTATCTATAAGAAATAATCACAAATCTAGTGTTAATTTATTCTCTTACAGCTTTGTAGATCAGAAGTCGTTTGTCAGTCTCACTGGGCTATAATCAAGGTACCAGGAGGATTGTGCTCCTTTCTGGAAATTCTAGGAGAGAATCTGTTTCCTTGCCTTTTCCAGCTCCTAGAGGTCACCCACATCATTCTTTGGCCGTGGCCTCTTCCTCCACCTTCAAAGCCTGCAACATTGCATCCCTCCGATCTTCTTCCATAGTCATATTTTCCTCTGGCTATGACTAGGAAAGGTCCTCTGATCTTAAGACTCATGTAATTAGATTGGGCTCACCAGGATAGTCCAGGATAATCTTCCAGTCTCAAGGTTCTTAATTAATCACATCTGCAGAGTCCCTTTTGCCATGCAAAGTACATATTCATAGGTCCCAGGGATTCCTACACGCACATCTTTGGAGGCCATTCTACATACCGCACCAGTCGATGTGGGATCAGATGTGGGATTTAAGATAGAGAAAAATCAAGGGTAACTTCAAATATTTCGGTCTGAGCAATTGGCAGAAATAAATTAACTGAGATTGGAGGGACCAGATTTGTGGCTTTGGAGTATGTGCTGGGAGCTCAGTTGCAGGCATGTAAAGTCTGAGTTTCCTATGAAATATTCAAGTGGGAGATGATGTGTAGTAGTTGAATACGAGACTAAAGTTTAGATCAATGGGTTCTAAGGACATATAGCCCATACATCCACGTATGGGTGGCACTAAAGCCGTGAGATGAGATGAGACTACTCAGGCCCTATTAAAGAGAGAAAAGAGAAGAGAGGTCCAGGAACTAGGCATTGGGAAACTTCCACATATCTACCAAGTGCTAACATTGTATATTTGGGAATTTGATAGGTAAAAGTTGTACAGTAATGTTGACTTGAACACACACAAAAAACACGAAAGAGGAGCACTGAAATGGTGAAACATAAGAAGTTACTCAGGACAGATTAATGCTTTTGCTTCACTTCATGTCTTGCAAACTTTGCCTTTCCAATTCTGTGAACTGTATGTCTAGAATTACTGGACCAGAGCCAAACACATAAATGACTGAGACATAGCTTCATCTTACATCAACTTCTGAATCTGCCTTGGTAAGGTTATCTGTTAATTAGGTATGTACTATTTTTATGGATGCCTGTTTAAGAGCTGTAATAGATTGATTTCAGTTGGCTTTCCTTGACAAAGTCTACAGTCTACAATATACATGTATTATAGCTTTGAAAGGAGCAACTGTCAGTTTTTCAGATGGAAATTTCTGTAGTAGAATGTAGTTTATACTGAAAACAGTTATTAAGCTTTATTTTGAGTGACATCTAACCTACTATATTATTTTTTTCTCTTTCTTTAGACTAGTACTGTCAAATTTGTCAAAGGCCAAGACATGGATCTTTTATACCTATTTAATTACCTCTAGGAAAAAACATTTACATGGCTTACCCCTGTAGAAAGATGAATGAGGAGAGGTGTATGAATGAGAAGAGGTATACTGGAGTCAGTGGGCCCAAAACTCAGCCTCTTGTTGGGTCTCAGCCACTCCACCCTTCAAACCTGGAATCCAAACCATATAGCAGCAAAAAGTCCCTCTGAGCAGTCCAAATAGATGTTCCAAAGTCTATAAATGTCATAGCTTTGCCCCTTAGACTCGTTGGATTCGATGGTAGGTAGAGTCCTTTGTGGATTCAAGCTCTACAAATAGATCTGTCAAACAGGCTTGTGTGGCTTCTAATGCACCAGTTAGGAGAGCAGATTAGAAAGGCAGAGAAGAGCCTCACACGATAAGCTGCCACACTGCGGCATGGGTTCTGAGTCCCCAGAGAAGAGCAGGGCTCCAGAGCAGCAGTCTGGTCTTTGGCCTCTGTAGATTTCAGAGACATCTGAGGACATTATTCTGTGTTGGTAACTGATGTAATGGTGACGTTGAGTCATGATGAAAAAGTTAAATTGTGAGTATAGTTTATTTAAGAAGGCAGAAATTTGGTTATCTGTTTCTGCAAGTCAAACCACCCTGGAAATTAGTAGTTTACAAAAACAGTGACTGTTTGTTATCTGTCATGATACTTTGGGTTGTGTTGGCTACTGTGGGTGCTGCTTCTGCTCTGTGGTGTTGGCTGGGGTTGCAGTCATCTGGAGGCTCGACTGGTCTGCTCATCTTAGATAGCTGTTCACATGGTTGGAGGTTTGTGCTCCTGTGGACTGCAAGTTCAGCTTTGGTCTCTTCCTAGTGACTTGGGCTTGGGTACCTCACAGAATGACAGCTGGTTCCAAAGGGGAGTGTTTCAAGCATGGGAATATCTTGGAAGTGATTCAGTATCACTTCACTGCATTCTTTTGGTCATAGTGAGTCACAGGGCCAGCTCAGATTCGGGGGAGAGGAAGTAGACTCTACCTTTCCATTTGGAACAGTGGCAGATAATCTGTGGTCATCTTTAATTCCACAGTAACAGAGAAATTGTAAGGCTAATGTGTGTGGATACATTGCATAATGTGTGATGAAGGGGCCAGGTAGATAGAAGAAGACAATTTAGAAAACTTGATTATTTCCTCAGGGTTCAAAGTGGTCAATGCTTTATAAGTAAGATTTTACCATAATTATAAGATTTTTACACTCTTAGGGAGTATTATAAATTAAGGGAAACATTTCTATTTGGTAAAAATAATAGCTGTTCTTTTTTTAAGGTAAAACAGTTGAGAAATAGTACCTAAGGCAATCATTGCTTATAATATTTAATAGCAATTTAATTTACATGTAGGCTGAGAACCCTTGGAAGGGATTCTAATCAGAACAAAAGAAAAATTGAATATAAAATTAAATTTTAACTTCTCTTAAGCAGTAGAGTTTTCTGATTCTTGGATACCTTCCCAAAGTTAGCTTGTGCTGTGATCTTAAGCTACCATGCTTCCATTCTGTGGGTCTGCTGTCACCTTATGAGGCAGTGAAGAGTTCGAAGTGAATCCATATTACATTTGTCTTATGCGTTTATAATTCCATTTTAATTTTGAAACGCTGGCTTTCAGATGAATTTTTAAGAACTCTACTTGGGACGAGCCAGCCAGCTGGGCACGGTGGCTCACATCTGTAGTCCCAGCAATTTGGGAGGCCGAGGAGGACACATCACTTGAGCCCAGGAGTTTGAGACTAGCCTGGGCAACATGGCAAAACTCTGTCTCTACAAAAAAATACAGAAATTAGCTAGGCATAGTGGTGTACACCTGTAGTCCCAGCTACTCAGGTGGCTGAGGCATGCAGATCACTTGAGCCTGAGAGGTTGAGACTGCAGTGAGCCATGATCGCGCCACTGCATCCAGCCTGGGTGAAAGAGTGAGACCCTGTTTCTAAATACAAATAAATAAATAACCAGCCATAACCATATATGGAAGGAAATAATAAATTCATTCCCCTCACATGGCTTTCTAGACTGACGTAAGCAAAAGCAAAATGAAAAGTTTTAAAAATGTTTTTCATTAAACTAAAGGATTTCTTAATAATAGACATTCCTATAGGCAGTGTTAGAGGAACACTCACCAGTTCTTTCCTTCAGTTCTTTCCTTTTATAGGGTCCAGCTCCTCTTTTGACATGGGATTAGGTGACCACGTGATTGATTAGCCTCACAATCACAATCCTGTCCCTCCTGTTGCTTTCCATTCACAGTTGATCAAGACTCAGAGCCTGTGATAGAGGTCAGGCAGAGAGCATGAGGCCCAGTGCAGAATCATTTTCTGAACCAGCCAGGAAATACTGGAACCGACCAAACTCTAAACACCAGCCTCAATTAGTCCTGTTCTTTTATGCAGGCAGCAGAAATGCCAGAAACCTGTTAACAGAAAAAAAATAATAATGCTTTTCATTTGAATGCCTATGCATTTTCGTTTTAACTTGTATGTGTTCCTAATTTTCCTTACTCTTTGTGTTTGTTTCTTAGTGTGGTTTATTGACAATCATTTACAATGCCGAAGAGTGCTGTAGTGAGCCAGCGCAGTGGGTAACAGCAATGAAGAACAGATGCGGGTTTGAGGAATTTAACTTGTGAAAACCTTGAACTGAAGTCTTAGAGATTGAGACATACGTACGGGTTTGTATACACAGGCTTTCAAGCCCTGTTTGCAGTGGGTTACTGATAGGAGAAACTTGCTTGTGGAATGTCAGCTGCATGAGCTCACAGTTGGACAGGATGGAAGAAGAAGAGCTGGAGTGTCCAAACTCTTCCTCTGAAAAACGCTATTTTCCTGAATCCCTGGATTCCAGCGATGGGGATGAGGAAGGGGTTTTGGCCTGTGAGGATTTGGAACTTAACCCCTTTGATGGATTGCCATATTCATCACGTTATTATAAACTTTTGAAGGAAAGAGAAGATCTTCCAATATGGAAAGAAAAATACTCCTTTATGGAGAACCTGCTTCAAAATCAAATCGTGATTGTCTCAGGAGATGCCAAATGTGGCAAGAGCTCTCAGGTGAGTAACCACTACAGAAATTATTTGCTGTATGTGTTGATTTTTAAAGTATTAAATAGTCACATCTCACAGCCTAGTGTTCTAATAACAATATCTAAAACAAAACTATTATTAATTCAGATAAAATAATTAGACCACTTGCCTAATTTTATTCTAGCTGAAAAATAATGTCTATATGGAAATTAATTGTGTTTAAGGTATCACTAAATTGTCTCTAGAATAATATTAAAATTACTGAAATGATCTCATTGTGTATATTATATTTTAAAAGATGTGCTGCGTGTTATTTCCCTGCCATGGGTATGGGGATTAACTGCTATGTTTCAGTGCCCAGTGGTCTGAGAATCCAAATATGTGCATGTGCTTGCTTCTGAAGGTGGCTGAGCCACTGAACTCAAAAGCACAAGGAAATCCTGATTTTCCTGACCATAAGAAATAACTGAGCAACCAAACATGATCCAGGCCTGGGCCATACACTTCGGGGTCTAAGATGGGGAAAGAATTAGGATCATTAAGAGATAAACCTAGGGATATTAAAATATTAAAGAGTTGGACAAGGCACAGTGGCTCGCATTTGTAATCCCGGCACTTTGGGAGACAAAGGTGGGCAGATCACTTGAGCCCAGGAGTTTGAAACCAGCTGGGGAACATGGCAAAACACCATCTCACAAAGAATTAGCCAGGCATGGTGCTGCATGCCTGTCATCTCAGCTATTCCGGAGGCTGAGGTGAGGGAATCACCTGAACCTGGGAAGTTGAGGCTGCGGTGAGCTGTGATCGTGCCACTAGACTCCAGCCTGGGCGATGTGAGTGAGACCCTGTTTCAAAGGAGAAAAAAAAGGACAGAGTTTATTTCTTTGCAAAGAATGACTCATGAATTAGGCAGCACTCCGAACCATGGGAGGTTAGTGAGCCCCATTGCAGCAGCAAGGGTGGTGAGCTTTTATAGGCTGAACATGAATGTAAGACAGAAGACATTTTAATTGGTTAGAGCAGAAAGCTCCTAGTCAGGGAATAGTTGGCAGGTTCTGATTGGTAAAGTCTAGTATGGTTTTACTGTTTACATTGGGCTTCAGTTTGCTTATGTGGGACCTTAAAGCTCTGGAGTTGCCTCAGCTTAATGGCCTCCCAATTAAAGTGGTTGTTTGTTTGTTTGTTTGTTTGTTTTAACAGGATAGTGGGCCAGGTACAGTGGTTCACACCTATAATCCCATCACTTTGGGAGGCTGAGGCAGGAGGATTGCGTGAGTCCAGCAATAAGTAGAGGCACAAATTTATCTTACAGAGGCCACTTTTCAGAGCCACTCCTATGTCTGCACTTTCTCAAAATCATGTGCAAAAGAGGCATATTTTGGGGTCACATATTCTGGTCTCCTTCAGTCATGTTTTGGGGTGGTAGGTCCTAAGCCCCAATATTAGATAGTTAATAAATACCTAATATTCAATTAGTTGTTATATTTGAACTTCAAGGTTTGGTTCAAATGAGATCCATATTTTACTCTTAAGTTTTAAAACAAGCAACCAGTATTTTTTTTTTCTTTCTGAGACAGAGTCTTGCCCCATCACCCAGGCTGGAGTACAAAGGCACACTCTCGGCTCACTGCAACCTCTGCCTCCCGGGTTCAAGCAATTCTCTTGCCTCAGCCTGCCAAGTAGCGCGATTACAAGCGCGTGCCACCATGCCTGGCTATTTTTTTTATATCTTTAGTAGAGATGGGGGTTTCACCATGCTGGCCAGGCTGGTCTCAAACTCCTGACTTCGTGATTTGCCCGCCTCAGTCTCCCAAAGTGCTGAGATTATAGGCATGAGCCACCACGCCGGCTGCAACCAGTATTTTTATTATGAAATTCATTTCTAGATTCTGGTGATGTAAGAATTAGAATAGACCATGTAGTGTGAGTAATGAGAAGTCCTGTTTCTCATAGAGAAGTTATGAATAGATCTAATGAATAGAATTCAAATCTGATGGAACCCCTTCATTTTTCAGATGAATAAACTGTGGCCCAGAGGGATTTGATAATATATCTAATGTCAGTAGCTTCCTGAATTCGGGTTAAAAGAATACTTTCCACTATACATTGCTGCTTCCAAGTTGTTTATTACCTCCAGAGTTTACCTATTTTATTATCATTATTATTTTTTGGGACAGATTCTTGCTGTCACACAGGCTGAAATGCAGTGGCGTAATCTTGGCTCACTGCAACCTCCACCTGCCAGGTGCAAGCAATTCTTGTGCCTCAGCCTCTTGAATAGCTGGGATTACAGGCTTGTACCATCATGCTTGGCTAATTTTTGTGCTTTTAAAAGAGTCAGGGTTTCACCATTTTGGCCAGGCTGGTCTTGAACTCCTGGGCTCAAGTGTCCTCCCACCTTGGCCTCCTAAAGTGCTGGGATTACAGACATGAGCAACTGCACCTGGCCTAAAGTTTACTTATTTTATAGGTAATTTTGGAGGCTGCGGTGGCTCCGGCAAGTTGTCCCAGTGCTTGAGGAGGCAAGGCTATGAGTTCAAGGCCGACCTGAGCAACAATACAAGCCCTCATTGATTAACTTATTTTATAGTTAATTTTGAAAAGAGGAGGGCTGGACAACAGATGTTTTTTATCTAATTTACAGCTGCCAGTATCAAGGGTTTATTATGATTTGTTCTTTGTTATGCTGAGTTATTGTTATAACAAATGATTTCAGTTCGTCACGAGAAGCTAATGGTGAGAACTGAATGAGTATAATTTTCTAGTTGCTATGAACAAATAACATTGAAAAAACGTTTTATTTTGCAATAATTTCAAACTAACAAAAAGTTGCAAAAATAGTACAAAGATTTTCCGTGTGTTGTTCACCCAGGTTCCCCAAATGTAAGATTTTACCATATAAACTTGATTATTTTATCTCTGCCCCCTCCATACATTCATACACATTTTTATTCTGAACATTTAGGAGTCATTTGAGGACGTGATGCCCTTTGGCTCCAAATACTTAACAGAATATTGACTGAAAACCAGTGCATAGCCGTAACATAATTATCAAAATCTGGAATATAATGCTGATGTCTAATTATTATCGAATTTCTAGACACTCACATTCAATCAGTTTCTCACTGATAGCCTTTATAATCACAGAAAAAAAAAATGTTTTTCTGGTCCAAAATTCAATCCAAAATTACATTGCATTTTATTGCCATTTTAAAAAGTCTTCTTTAATCTGAAACAATTCCCTAATCTCTCCTTGTCCTTTATGACATTGATATTTTTGAGGAGCACAGGTTAGTTACTCTGCAGAATGTCCCTCAGTTTGAATGTGTCTGATGTTTCTTTAGGGTTAAGTTCAGGCTCTGCATTTGTGGCAAGAAGACCACACAAGTGCTGTGTATCCTTCTCAGTGCCTCATATCAGGAGGCACAAGATGTCAATTTTGCCCATGCTGGTGTTGTTAAATCTGATCACTTGGTAAGCTGGTGTCTGCCTGGTTCTTTATTGAAAAGTTAATAATTTCTCTCCAATCATTTAATAGATACATATTTTGATACTATGTAAATGTGTTTCTCATTATACATTTGTAACCATTCAGTGGGTTCATGTTGCTTGTTGTCCAGATAGAGCCAATTTATCAAGACAAGGGAATTGGAATAGAGAAAGAATTTAATACACATAGAGCTGACTAAAAAGAAGACAGGAGTTTTGCTATTATTCAAACAGCCTCTTTGTCAGTTTGGAGGCTAGGGTTTTTCAAGGACAGTTTGGTGGGCAGGTGGCTAGGGAATGGGTACTGTTGATTGGCTGAGGATGTACCCACAGAGGTGTGGAAAACAGTCCTCATGTGCTAAGTCCACTTCCAGGCAGGAACAACAGAGAACCATCCAGTTTTCAGAAATGCAAAAACCTGAAAAGACATCTTAGAAGGCTAATCTTAAGTTCTGTAATAGTGATGTTATTTACGGGGAAGTTACAAATCTTGTGACCTCTGGAATAATGACTGGTAATCATTTAACTACACCGACATCTTGGCAGCATTCAGGCCTCCCTCATCCTCCTAACCTGGTGTCCTTTCATTAGTTTTACAAAGGTGATTTCATTTCACTATCGTTTAAACTCTAAATGTCTCCAAAAGTTAGCTTGGCTCACTGCAGGAATGGCTAAGGGCAGTTTGAGGGTGAAAGGCAAGATGGAGTTGGTCATAATTTTCTCACTGTTACAATTTCTGCAAAGGCAGTTTCACATTCATCCACTAGTGTTAACATTTTTAGTGATTCTTACCTTTGAATCATTACATTAGTAGTAACTGAAGATGATTGTTCTAGTTCTGACATGCCTTTTATACATTATTTAGAATTTTTCTGTAAGGCTGCGCTTTCTCTCCTTCATCATTTATTTATGTCACTGTGGACTCATAAATTCTTATTTTATTCTCTGTGTTATAATGTATTGATAAGCCTACTTTGTTGTTTAAATTGCCCCTGATGTGGCTTCTCTGTCCTTTTGACATTTCCCCATTATTTCTGAGCACTTCTTTGCTTTCTGGCTCAGTAAGATGTTCCAGGTTCATCTAGTACATTCCCCATGCCAGTCCAGTAAAACCATTTTTTTCTCCAGAAGTCCTGGTTCCTTTTAGTGGTGAACTGTGTTTTGAATCGGGACACTAAGTATATGGATTGCCATTGGTTTATTGCTTTTTTAATTTTTATTTTTGAGCTAGGTTCTTGCTCTGTCACCCAGGCTGCAGTGCAGTGGCACGATCATGGCTCACTGCAACCTTGACATCCTGGACTCAAGCGATCCTCCCACCAGCCTGTAGAGTAGCTGGGAATACAGGTGTGTGCCACTACACTCAACTTTGTTTTGTAGAGACAGGGTTTGTTATGTTGCCCAGGGTGGTCTCCGACTCCTGAGCTCCAGCAATCTTCCTGCCTCAACCTCCCAAAGTGGTGGGATTACAGGCATGAGCCACCGTGCCCAGCCTATCATTGCTTTTAGGCCATCTCAGTGGACACAACAAGGAAATAAATGTATGTGAGTACAGTACACACACATCTCATTCTGTCTATCCATCTATCTGTGGCTCTTTTTCTCTGTCTCCCTAGCTGTTTCTCTCTTTCTCTATTTCTTTCTATGTATTTCTATTTTCTTACCTCTCATATTTTTTATCTGTTTATGTCTTAAAAACCATGAGTTTGTACCTGATGCCTCTGATTCCAGTTAGGATTACAGGATTTATTCTGGCCTTCCCAACTTTCACATTAATAACTTCTCCATGAGAAACAGGACTTGGCATTATTCACACTTCGTTGTAAGATTGAACAAACTACTTGAACAAACAGTTCATACTGTAGTTTCAGAATTGCTAATCCACACTGCAGTTTAAAAATTTTCTCATATACTTCTTGAGTTTTCTTTCAGAATTCATCAACTTCAAGAGTAAGAATTGTTACATATTATATGTTATATTAGTGCCTAGCAATGGTTTCTCCTCATTTTTAATTTCTCAATTATTTCAATACATTCATGTTTATTTTCTGTTAATTGGGATCACATGTATCTTCAAGGTAAGAAAAATCAAAGTAGTACTCAAATAATAAGAAATGGATCTATTCTAAACTACTTTAGATGGCAGGAGCATTGGTTGTTTTCTTCTGGAAGCAATTTGGTTTTTGTTGTTGCTGCTGCTGTTTTTGTTTTAAGAGTTTGCAAGACTGTTTTCTTGTTCTTCGGAGTTTTAAACCTTTCATGAAAAAAGTTTTTCTTCAGAGCCAAGCTTTACAAGGATCCTAAAGATTTCATCTCTCTTTGGTACAGAAATTATGAAGTCTATTTTATGTCTGCCCCAGGGAAACAGAGGAAAGTTTTTCATATGTTTATAGAGTCTTTTCCTATTGCATTTTTTGCGAACAGGTTTTGAAAGGTCCTGAAAGAGAGAGAAACATCTCTAGAACTGTCTATTTTGCTTGTTTCTCCTTCCCTAGCTTTTGCCCTGAAATTTCCCAGGAATGGATGGGGCAGTGAGGTGAATAAATATGAAATAACCAAAAATTAACTTAGATTAAGAAGCTGTATGGCTTAGAACACTTCTACCGTTATTGACTGAGTAAACTTGTTCACCAATTTCTGTTGGTATGTTCTACCTGTATCCACTCAGAACCAAGACAAATGTGAATTGTGTTATCCAGGGATGTGTGACATTTGATTCAGAAAGGGCCTAACTCCTCAGTAAGGGTTCTGCTATATTGGCTCACTTTGGGTGGGATGGCTGCCTGAGGACACACTCAGGCATAGGCATTTTGCCGGAATGCGGTTGAAGGGGGTCATACCTTTGGGTGAATTGGTGGCCCTTCAGATTTTTTTTCAACTTGTGGATGCTGTTATTCTGGTACTGAAATGAAAGTGAGTGAGTGGGACCTTGGCAGTAGCTTCAGGATTGGTGATCCTAGAGACATTAAGAGAAGAAAGCAGAAGAGGAATTGGGCCCTTATGGACACACTGATGATATAAAGTGAGGGAGTGGAGGCCTTTGGGACTGATACCTGTTTCTCAGAATACTCGTAGCATTGTGTCTCATGGAGGTCCTTTTTTTCTCACTTCATTTATTCTCATTTAACTATATTAAATTATGTTTAACTCTATTATCCATTAGATGAGATGAAACAATCACCATCAGTAGATGGAAAGGACAGAAAGTTCTGCAGTAGTGTAGCCCACATGGATGTCCTCTTGCCACAGTGGCAATGATGAGACCATACATGGGATATGTGATGCTGCTGCTGCTCCCTTGATTCTGACCTGGATCTGGTTACAGATTCTTATAGGAGATCTCCCTGCAGCCTGCCTTAAAGACCCCAAACCCTGGCTCTCCTAAACCCAGCAGCTCAACCTCTGTGTGCTGCCTCAAGTCAGAAATGGAGCATCTTTGCTTCACTGTCTGAATTTGTACAAGTTGTAGAACTGCAGTTGCTAACTCAGGTTGATAAAGCCTTGATTTAGATTAGATTTTGATTACCTGCAGACTCCTCTTACCTCTCACAGTAGCAGACTGGCCAGAATGTTGGTGATTTCCTTTCAGGCAGGAGGTAAGAGGCCAGGATGCTCCCATGCCTTGATTGCTTACCTTGCATGCTCCAGAGTTGGTTCCAACTGAGCTTTGGGACAGAGCATACGCAGGACCCCTGCTTAGGCTTTATGTAAATGGCACATCAGAAGTACAGAAAACTGCATTTAGAAAATGGATGGAGAAACATGAAAAAAGTATTTGGTGAGTTCAGAATAAAAAGATGTGAAGTATTGATTTCTAGTTAGGGAGCATTTCCAGACTAAATATATAAATCCGAGGATTGCGCATGACCAAACTCCCAGATAAACTGATGTGAAAATGGGCTGTTTTTTAATGTGTTAGAGGAGCAGTTTTCTGTTTCTTTACCGTATCATGCAACTTTTCCTAAGTACTCAGTCACAAAGTGACCCAGAATTCAATGTTTCTCTGAAAAAAGCTAAAGGCAAATGATTCATAGAAAGGTACAGCTATTTAAGCTTTCCTAATTCCCATAATGCCAACTTGGCAACTAGTCCATCCAGAAAAATGTTTTTGAATACTAGCGGGGAGTGTCTTCCAAAGAGGAACCATGGAGCAGAAACAAAACCTCTAACAGACACGCAATTCATTGGTGAGAAGAGAAATGCTCCTGGGACAATGAAAAGCTGCTAAGTAGTACCCAGAAGAGAAGCAGAATTGGGGCAAGAAAGGTCAGTGCCAGCAATAGATACAATATTTAAATGCAGAGAAGGCAAGAGTTCTTTGTAAAGCTGCGATCTCAGTATCCCTTGAAATGTGAAATATTCAAATAACCGACATTTGCCAAATCGTAACTTTTTTCAGCCGATAATTCAAGTTTGCTAAGGAATCCTCCCTTGGTGTGTTACTTAGCTTGCCTAGAGTGATTCGGGAGGCAGGTGAAACCGTAGAACTGTAACAGATGAGGCAGATGGTTTCGTGTTTCTGTCTTTTCTGGCTAGAGACAACATTTTCAGTTTGTGTTTGCACTGCCTACTGTTAACTGTCTCCGAGTAGCTATTACTGGAAGAGGAGCTGATCCTATGTGGTCAGAACCACAACTGAGTAGCTGTACTATAATTTGTTGTGACTTAACGTGGCCACATAAGCAAACATTCCTACATTAAGCACAATATGGATCTGTTCAGTCTTCTACTGGTTATTTTAACTGACATCTAAAAGTCCTTTTTCCATTTCTGAATTAATTTCTTTGCCTCTCTTAAGTAAAATAGTTTGCTCTAATGTAGAGGAGGGCAAAAAAGGAAAATGAAGACTGTTGTTGGATTGGTATATTTGTTGTACTTCCAGGCATGTATAATGTTTATACCATTATTAACGTACTATAATAAACTAATCTTGCAGAATTTGTTTACATGAGTAAAGAGAAATGGATTAAATGCAGTTTTTCAAAAAGGCCCAAATCAGAAGCTTGAGAACATGGCACATGATCATTGGAATTCTGTCCAATTTTAGAGTTTGAAAGCAGCTATCCTGGACCTTTCATGAATAACCAGGCTGAACATGTCCAAGTGTTTCAATACAACTGGATAGTATTATTTCAGCAACAATTCTAGCTATGTAAAGCAGGGCTCACTGTCGTCATAGCACTGTCCCCTGATATTGCCATTAGGCCTCAAAGAGTAATTGATTTATTTTTATTTTTTTTGAGACAGAGTCTCGCTCTGTCGTCCAGGCTGGAGTGCAGTGGCACAATCTCAGCCACTGCAATCTCCGCCTCCTGGGTTCAAGTGATTCTTCTGCCTCAGCCTCCCTAGTAGCTGGGATTACAGGCACCCACCACCATGCCTGGTTCATTTTTATACTTTTAGTAGAGATAGCCGTCACATTGGCCACTGCGCCCAACCTAGAAAGAGTAGTTTAAAATGCTGATTGCCTGAGAATCTCATGACTTCAGTTGCCACCTTTGTATAAAGATGCTTAGAAGCAACTGTGATGTAGTGGAAATTACACTAACCAAGAAACTAGAAGATATGGATTGGTTCTTGTCATGCTGTTTACTGACAAATGACCTTGGACAAGTCACGCCTCTAAGTTTCTTTCCTCGTATATAAATGAGGGTGTTGGCCTTTATGTCTTCCAGAGGTTTCTTTCAGTACTCAGATTCTGTGAGCGCCATGCCCATCTGTACTCTGATCTCTGTCTTAGGCCCCCGCCTGCTTTTCTGTTGATCCCAGGATAATTATGCCTGGGTGTTCTTCCGGTAACACTGACCATCTTCCTGACTCTCCTGAAGGTCATCGTCCTCCCCTCATAACTCCTTCTTACCCCCAAAAGAAATTTATGCTGCTCTTATCTTCATTCATTTATTGTATTTTACTTTCCAATTTCCTGTTCTTGAAAATTATATAATCAGTGTTTTAAGTTAGAAACCATAGAATATTTGTTTTCTTCCTATGTATGATTAGTTTGTTAATGGGTACTGCTCATTCTTCCTTTGCAGTAATTTTCCTGTGGTTTTATTACCTCTCTCCCATGCTTAGCACTGAGCCCAAGCCTTTCTCTTCTTTTCAGTTATTAAGATGTCCTTATCCATATTTCCACTCAAATATTATCCCTGCCATATGTCAGTTCCTCTGTTTAGTATTGGGAACAAATGGATGCCACACATGTATAGTTTAAGGATCTTCCCACATAGTGGGGAGACAGAGATTCAAACAGGTGCTTTTGGCTGGGCACAGTGGCTCACATCTGTAATCCCAACACTTTGGGAAGCTGTGGCAAAAGGATCACTTAAGCCCAGGTGTTTGAGACCAGCCTGGGCAATATAGTGAGATCCTGCCTCTATTAAATAATTTTTTTTTTCTTTGAGACAGAGTCTTGCTCTGTCACCCAGGCTAGAGTACAGTGGCGCAATCTCGGCTTACTGCAACCTCCACCTTCTGGGTTCAAGTTATTCTCTTGGCTCAGCCTCCCAAGTAGCTGGGACTACAGGCATGCACCACCACACCGGCTAATTTTTGTATTTTTAGTAGAGACAGAGTTTTGCCATGTTGACCAGGCTGGTCTTGAACTCCTGATCTCAGGTGATCCACCCTCCTTGGCCTCCCAAATTGCTGGGATTACGGACATGAGCCACCATGCCCATCCTAAAGAAAATTTTTTTTTAAAACAAGTGGTTTAATACAGCTTTTCACATGAATAATACTTGAGGTCTTGGCTAGGGACCCTAGATACTGGACCCTGACCTGAAGGCAATTAGTTTAAAAGTCAGGATTTGGCAAGAATAAAAAATTACTTGCTATAGATTAAAGGAGACAAAATTTTATGTAAATTCTTATACTACATAGAATCATAGAATTTTAAATTATTTCTGGAATGTATAAGAAATTATTCATTCAACAGATATTTACTGAGTACTAGGATTATTTGATGAACAAGACAGATAGGTCTCTGCTTGTAGAGCTCATTTGAGGGGCTGTTGGGTACTGGGGGAACTAGGACCAGATAGACAACCCCAGGAATGTGATCCTGTCACGGTGGGAAGCACACCGTGGATCTAGATACCTAGGGAATCACAGCAGGCCTTGCAGAGAAAACCACACAGTTCAGACTTGAAGGATAATTTGCATTAATTCAATCCATTCATTTTACAGGTAAGAAAACTAAAACTTAGAAAATGTGTGGTTTACAGGGAACAAATTAATGGCAAGCCAGTCCCTTAGGTGACTTGTTATTCCTGGGTCTTGCCTTGATTCCGTTTCCTGAGTGCAGTATCTTACACTTTCATCTTTCATAGAACAAAGTAAGCGCTGAGTACATAATTACTGATAAATTTCAACCTGTTGACAAGGCTGACACCTGTCTTCAAATGCAGGCAGTGCATTTGCCTTTCAGTCATTAGAAATTTGCAGTCTCCAGCAGTCAGTCAGTCAGTCATTTTGGAGTTACTTGTATTTCTGGTGAGTTATGTTTATTTTTCAAATTACAGTGAGGAATCAGATCTAAGAATTTCATAATGAATCTCATAAATAGCAGACCTCAAGATAATTAGAAACTTTACAACATTTAAATACCTTAGATCTATTAAAAACACACTTGGAATAACTTATTTTTAAAATGCATGTAACAATGCATGATTTACTGACAGTGCCTTGTGATTGGAGAAACAAATGAATTTAGTACATTATATATAATAATTCTTGTACAAATTAATGTGATAAACATCAGCTGGTCCGTAATGTATTTTAGAAAAAAAGATTTTTAAAATAAAATGGCTCTAGAGCAGCTTTGCTTGGAATCGACTCTTTCCAATTCTAGATGGGTTGGTTGATTACCTCACTGGGTTTATTTATTTGATTATATTTAGATGGTAAATTATCAGTATATTTTAGGATTTTTAAATTGGGGAAATGTTAGTAGGTTTATCTGGATATTTGTTAGGATCATGTGGATTTAAATGTATATGATTTCATTTTGAGTCACCATTTTTTAACTAAATGCTATCTGTGATTTACATCGCTTAAAATACAATAGCTGATAACAGAAGCCATATTTTTGATGGGCCTTTCTTCTAACCAAAAAGAAAATGATAATCTCTGAATACATTAGTCTTTTCAGAAACAGTTGAGGTTGAAAGTATTTTTTTATTTTGCCCTTGATTTTTATCTGCCTTTTTTTTGTCTGTGAGTCAAACTTTCACAGTCCCTATTAACTCCTGTTTGTTCTTAACTTTACTTCCTGGCAGTAGCTCTGGGAACAATCCATATTGTTCAGAGTTTCACTCTATAAGATGTAATACAGCTCACTGCTGATTTACTGAATGAATCTGATAAGATGAACTTGCTATAAGCCAGAGCTGTCTCTCATTTTGTTTTCTGCAGAAGCTGATCCTGTCTCGTTTTCCCCATTGCAGGTTCCTCAATGGTGTGCTGAATATTGCCTTTCCATTCACTACCAGCACGGGGGCGTGATATGCACCCAGGTCCACAAGCAGACTGTGGTCCAGCTTGCCCTGCGGGTGGCGGATGAAATGGATGTTAACATTGGTCATGAAGTTGGCTATGTGATCCCTTTTGAGAACTGCTGTACCAGCGAAACAATCCTGAGGTTGGTTTGGGGGGTTTCGTCTGCTCCCTGCGATGATTCTTGGCTTACGTTCTACAATTCTGAAAGAGCATTATTCTGGCACTCTACGTGTTAAGCATCTATGCTGTGCAGTCGCAACTGGTCTCTCTGTCCTCAGCCTGCCATTAACAGTTGCTTTCCCACACTGGCATCATCAGGGATTTCTTATCTAAACTTATCCCGTGACTCCCATTATTCCCACGAAAAAGTTCACAACTTGCTGGGCCCCACAGAACATTCAAGCATGTGCTTCTGGAGCTGTGCCTCATGCAGGGTCCACATCATTGCCTGTGTGCATGCCACATGGACACCTGGAGCACGCTGTGTGCCCCGTGCTTCCACACCCTGTGCCTGTACACCTGCCCCTCCCTGTGCCTCTTCTGGGCCTGGCTAGTTCCTCCTAGTCACTCAGTATGCAGTGTAGCAGTCACCTACTGCAGGAGGGCTTCCCAGCCCCCCCAGTAATAGAAATGAGAAAACCCTCTGTAGGGCTTCTGTAAACTGGGTGTTAGCCTCCATCATGGCAGCTTCAATCAGTGTTTCTCAAACTGTACTTTTCAGAGTCTTCTAGGTTCCAAGGAACCTTCTCTGTGGCTACCGCAAGTTGTGGTATCTCTTTTTTGTGCTTAGCTTCATTATGAGATTTCCTTTAAACAAGAATTTCCAAGAGCTTGAAAGAAGAAGAAAAAAAAGAAAAAAGAAATTGGAAAAATCACTGCTGTAGGCTAGTGCTTCTCAAGAAATGATAATAGAAATATGATAGTATCCATAGAAAATGATAGTATCCATACGGTACCTCAAGAAAATGGTCAAAGCTGCCTTCAGCCAGAGATGACCATCCTGTGGGCTTCCGCTGCCCCAGGCACTGCCTGACCACTCCAGGAGCCAAGGAGATAAGTATCTCAGGGTCAGTATTTCTGCACCTCTATAACCCATTTGTGTGGCATACGAGTGTGCCATGTACAGTGTTTGGGAAGCTCTGCTTTCGTGTAACAGGGCAGGGATGGTTTTTCACATACTCATATCCCTGGTGTCTCATGTGCTCATCCCTTGGAGGATGTCTGGTCAGTAGGACGGTAGAAGGGATTTTTCTCTGTCCCACCTAGCACCACACTCTGGTGTAGTTCTTTCCATTCAGAAAGCCCATGGGGCCTGGCACAGTGGCTGATGCCCATAATCCCAGCAATTTGAGAGGCCAAGGCAGGAGGATTGCTTAAGCCCTGGAGTTTGAGACTAGACTGGGCAACACAGTGAGATCCCATCTCTACAAAAAATAGAAAGATTAGTGATTGTGGTGGTGCATGCCTTTAGTCCCAGCTACTCAGGAGGCTGAAGCAGGAAGATCACTTGAGCCCAGGAAATCAAGGCTGCAGTGAGTTGTGATCACGCCACTGCACTCCACCCTGGATGACAGAGTGAGACCCTGTCCCAGAAAAAAAGTAAGCCCATGGGGCTCATTTGGTTTGTATTAAGCTACTCTCCCTCAAATGTTTGTCTTCAAAAATAGAAGACAGTCTTAAGGCTAGTGTCAAATCACAGGAGAAAAGTCTTTAGACCATCAGCACTCTGACTTGAACTTCGTGAAGATACCTTCTGCTATTATAACCATTGTGTCCTTGAGTCATTAAATTAGTATGTATTTATAAACTGCTTATTGTGTAAATTGTACGTGAGTGGTACAAAAGAAACAAACACCTTTCTGGTTCTTAGGAGCTCACAAACTAGTTAAAGAGCTGGACAGGACAAGACATACAACCCTGAAAGGGTTAAGGATCCCTAAGCAGATTCGTGGTTTGTTTTACATTTTAAAGTAGCCTTTTGAATTTTCATGTTTTAAATTAAATAATGGCTCTGACTAGCTTCTGAAGCTAATATTCTATCTTTAATACCATCTAGACTTTGAAAACCCTTTAAAAGGACTCTTTAGTCATTTTTAAAATGAAATATTGTAACAGCTTTATCTTAATGTGGAATGGAATCTTTTTTTTTTTTTTTTTTTGAGACAGAGTCCTGCTCTGTCACACAGGCTGGAGTGAAGTGGTGTGATCTCAGCTCACTTCAACCTCCATCTTCTGGGTTCAAGCGATTCTAATGCCTCAGCCTCCTGATTAGCTGGGACTACAGGCATGTGCCACGACACTTGGCTAACTTTTTGTATTTTTAGTAGAGACAGGGTTTTGCTATGTTGCCCAGGCTGTCTCGAACTCCTAAGCTCAGGCAGTTTGCCTGCCTTGGCCTCCCAAAGTGCTAGGATTACAGGAGTGAGCCACGGCGCCTAGCCTCAGATATTTTTTAATATGGAAAGCTATGATGTAAATAATTGTGGGGAAATATAATAATATCAGAAATGCCTCACCTTTTAAACATCTGTCACGTGTTGGACTTAGGATTATTTTATGGTGAAAAACCCAAGCATTCAATTCTGACACCCAAAGGAAATACTATAATTTATATTAAAGTTTGTGTTAGTTTCAGTGTGTGTGTGGCATTCCTTTATTAGCTTAAAGAAAGGAGTAGGGCTGGTTGCTTCAGGTGCGATGGATTGAGGCACAGGGGCACCCATGGACTCAGGTAGAGAGTAGCTGCCTGCTTTGACAGGTTTCGCAGGTGGTTTCTTTCTGCCGTTGCTGGGCTGCCTTAGTCTTCATTGCTTTTATGTCTTCACTTACAGTTACTCTTCTTGCTGAACGTTGTGCTTTCTTTTCCACCGTGATATGCCCTCAGAAGCAGTGCAGAGGCAGAAGACACTGCTGCATTGTTGTGAACAGGGTTTGAGTCACAGCAAAGAGGCCAGAACTCTTGAAAAGATCCCTATGATAAAAGAAAGCAATACGTATTTTCTTCCTGGTAGTCTATGCTCTGAAGAGGAGGCAACATGGCTGTAAAATGGGTGTCTCCAACCACTTAGTAACTTGTAACCTTATACAAGTCACCTTTGAGCTTAAGTCACCGCATCTGAAAAATGTGGGTGATTATTAATATACTTGTTTAGAGGGTTGTTGTGAGGACTATTTAATTTATGTAACTGACGTATAGTGTATGTATTGGTAGCTATGTTTATAATTATACTTATATTTTTATAATTATGATTAGAACAAGATTCATTTTCCTGAAGAAGTGTGTGAGCCATAATTTTGAATAAGCTCAGATTGAATAGCTATTTAAATCAGAGGATTTAACATTGATCATTGATTATAGAAGGCGATAGTCTATATTTGATACTGTCTTTTTCATTTTTTTAGTAACTCCTTAGTATCTATCAAACACATCACAGGCACTTAGTAAACTATCTTTAAGCCAACTACTATTTTTTTGGATGCTATATGTAACAACTTTGTTTTTCTTTAAGCTTTTCTCTGGCCTTTTTTGAAACAGTGAAGACCTGAATATTATATACTTAAAATAGTCTTTAGGAACTATATATCAAGATATCTCAGAAGTGACTCATAGTGTGAAATGGTGATCTTTTCTGCTTTTAGAACTGGAAAGTTCTCAAATGTTCATTAAAGTTAAACTCAATTATATAATTTTATAAATACAAATATTAATAAAACTTTTAACTATTATAGTCTTAGCTTTTAGAAATTTAGCCTTAATTTTAAAATATAAATGCAGTTCCTGGAACCTTGGTAGTATATCTTTTTACATAATTAATTAACAGCACTTTTTAAAGCATTGAATATGTAGTATCTCATTTCCATAAAGTTCAGAAATACATCTTTGTGTTATATAGAAAAAAATATAGGTGGTTGTTTTGTTTTATTTTGAATCAGAGCCTTGCTCATATTGCCCAGACTGGGGTGCGGTTGTGGGATCATAGCTCACTGTAACATGGAACTTCTCCTGGGCTCCAGTGATCTCCCACCTCAGCCTCTCAAGTAGGGGGGACTGCAGAATGTCGGTTTGTATAGTAAGTTTTAGGATTGAGCCTTCGTGATTCCCTTATACAGTCATCCGGAAGGCTAGGCCTTGCTGGATAAGTCTACTGGAGTTTTTAATAAGTTACCATCTGCTCTCTTTTTAAATAAGCCTAGATGTATTTACATAACACATACACCTTCTCAGTCTTCTGGGGCAGCATTACTTCCTATAAGATCAGTGCTTAGGTGAGTTTTGCTGAAAAGGGAACAGAAATTAATTTCTAACATGAATGAAATACCATAAATTAAAATAATTTGTTTTGGCTGAGAAGCAGTAGTAACTTGTATTAATATACTAATTAACCTCAGCAAAAGATGATTTGAAAACTATATTTCAATGTATCTGTTGGCGTCTTGCACAACAAGTATTCAAGATGCTTTCTTTTTTAAGTTTGAAGGATGAGAACATTTATGAAAAGAAAGGCAGAGAACATCCACTTAGATCTCATAAAGATACAGAGAGGAAGAACAGGGACTTGATCACCAAAACTACAAGGCCAAGGAAGCAATCTTTATAATTTGACAGTGACATCAGATAGAACAAATATTACCTGGGTTTAAATCTTGAGTCTATCCCTGGCTTTGTGACCTTGGGCAGGGTACTGAATTTTTCTGAACTTCAGTTTTCTCATTTAAAAATGAGTCATTATAATGGGATAGTAATGTCTACTTTGAAGGTTTATTCTGTAAATGAGAAATGTATGCACCAGCGTAATGCCTGGCACACACTAGGAGCTTAATAGATGTTTGTTACCTTCCTTTTTTCCCCCCCTTGAAAGAGGTTAATTGAGGACTGTGTTGAGATCCCCAAGACCACTCCCAGGTTCAGTGATTTGCTAGAAAGATTCATGGGATTCAGCTTATAGTTTACTTATAACTAAGGTTTATTACAGTGAAAAAATAGAAAGCAAAATCAGTAAAGGGAACTGGTAAATGGGACGAAGTTCAGAGGAACCCAGGCACAAGCTCCTGAGCTCTCGCCCAGGGAGTCACAACAGTGAGCTTCATTCACAGCTCATGAAATGGTGCCCCACCAGGGAAACTGAGGCTCAGTGCCCAGGGTTTTTATTGAAGGATGGCCATAGAATCACCCTCTGCCTAGTATGTTTCAAAATTCCAGACTCCCAGGAGGAAAGCACATGCGCAGCATAAACCATACTGTCTATACAGGTGGTTCAGGCACAGTAAACTACTCTTATCGGTTGTGGGGGTGGTGAGAACCCTCCCCAAATCTGAGTTTCCTAATGCCAGCCAAGGGCTAACCTTGCAGGCAAGTCTGTCTAGGGATAGCAATCTCAGAACTGCCATGTACAAGACTAAATAAAAGTAAATACCTTAAATGGGTAGAAAACATATGGGATTGGTTTCTTCAAGCAGTAATATATGTAAATATGTAAATAGAGTCAGAAAGTTATTCTCATTAAGCTTAGTGACTAATAGGTGGTTATTTTAATTTTAAAAAATCATCCCAAGAACTATGGGAAAAGTCCATTAAAATTACTAATGACCCCTCCACATTCCAGGAATGCTAGCCAGTTTTCATGCTGCCCTTAAATAGATAGTTACTTTTTAGATACTTCTGTTTGCTTATTATTTGGATGACATCTTAATGATGTCATCTCCCACAGTGAACCACCAATAATAGTGTCTGCCCTAACAGTGGGCTAGCTGGGCCATGAGCCTGAGCCAGGACGGTTATTTTTGTATCCTTTCCTTGAAAAGTGTATAACTTTACTCAGAATTCTTTCGTTGATGAATGAGAGAGGAAAAAAATGACAGGGGTGTTTTATGATGTTACTTTTTATTTATAAAGCTCAGAACAAATGTTAGATGCAGGCTTTTATTAATATTTGTAATAAATATTTAGGAAGAGTTCTCTAACCTAGGGTTCAGAGTGGTCTTTGTAGGGGGCGGTCTATGAACATATGCAAACTGGGTGTAAATTTTGTTTATCTGTATTTTTTTGTGTTGTAATTCTGTAGATTGTATCAACTTAAAGGAATCTTGGCCCCAGTAAAAATCTGGAATTACCGATTTAGAGAAATGAATATAGGAAAAGCATTTTTGTTGTTTAGGATGTTCTTTGCATGACTTAGCATAAGAATATTCTAACTTGAATATTTCTTCTTTATAGGTATTGTACTGATGATATGTTGCAAAGAGAAATGATGTCCAATCCCTTTTTGGGTAGCTATGGGGTCATCATCTTAGATGATATTCATGAAAGAAGCATTGCAACTGATGTGTTGCTTGGACTTCTTAAAGATGTGTTACTAGCAAGACCCGAACTGAAGCTCATAATTAACTCCTCACCTCACCTCATCAGCAAACTCAATTCTTATTATGGAAACGTGCCTCTCATAGAAGTGAAAAATAAACACCCTGTGGAGGTTGTGTACCTTCGTGAGGCTCAAAAGGATTCATTTGAGTCTATTTTACGCCTTATCTTTGAAATTCACCACTCGGGTGAGAAGGGTGACATTGTAGTCTTTCTGGCCTGTGAACAAGTAAGTAAGTGATATTCTAACCATACAGAGTAATAAGGCGTTTCATTTGGGAAGCTTTTAATAACTAACATACAGGTTTCAGTTTGCTAATTAACTGTTTAAATATTTGGTTTCATCATACCTCATTAAAACCTGTGCTGAAAGGAGAACAGGAAGTGTTTCTAGAATCACATGCAGTTCTGAAAACAAAAAAATGGGTGAGGTGTCTCTAGACATGATCTCCAGAGCCAACTTCCCTCCAGAAGGCTCAGGCCAGATAGTGGGTGCCCAAAGGCAAAGCTGGCTCTACTTAAGCCAGCTGTGAATTGTCGTCTCTTGGTACAGTAGGTGCATCCCGACTCCCCTGACATTCTCCGCTGCCTCCCTGTGAGCAGGTGTGTTTGTTGGAGATCAGGAATATTACCTAAGCACTCCACACAGAGTTAAGTCACAAAACATTTCCCACAAGCAGTCCTGTGATAGTCAGTGGGGTATGGGCAGAAAATACAATTTATAGCCCACCTGAGAAGGTCATCTCCCTAGACTGGGGCTCCATTCTTAAATGATAAGAAAAATTTTAACTCAGCTCTTGAAAGGAATGACTGGAAATGTGCAGTCAAGCATTATTTACTTCCTGTTACTGCTTTGATACAGCCAGGCACCACTTGTGCTTGCATTCTTTTTCCTTGCAGCTACACTGGCCCTATTTCTTCCCCTACTCTGTTGGCTGAATCTAAAAGCCTCCAGGATCTCTAGAATTAGACCTTTCTTCATGGAGACTAATTGCCTGGCCTTTTTTTCCATCTTCTCCTGTAGAGAGGAGAAGCACTAGTTTTTAGACCACGACCCAAATATGTAATGGTTCTAGTCATTAAACAAACCAAAAAGCAAATTGTTTGATAGAGGCTGAGCCACAGCTGAACAGATAAGTGGCTCGGCTCTGTGAGAGCCTTTTCTTTAACCTCCACATGCCTTCAGACCCACTTTCAGAAGTATTCTGTCTTACACTCAAAGCATAAAGGCTTTGGGAACTTTAGTTTTCTTAAATTTTATCTGTTTCTAGAACCTCAGTATAATTGCATATTTACCATTTTCTGTATTAGATGATACACATTCTCTTGAATAGCAAATCTGCCTATTTCAGTGATTATTCTGTTATTATATCCTCATCCTGCATGATTCAAGATATTCAAGAAAGTCCTAAGGAAAGTAATAAAATAATTATGGAGAGATGGGATTTATGAAAACAATTAGAGGTTCTCAGGATAACCAGCTGAAGCCCACAGAAGGGAAGAATGGCAAATCTAATATATTTGAGAGCCAGAATTGCCAGGTGAAAAACAGGACATCGGCTTGGCACTGTGGCTCACACATGTAATCCAGCACTTCG